ATGCCTCTCAGCTCTTTACTGTCCAGCTCAGTAATTTCTGATACATTTTGCAACACTAAAGGAACAAGCAGTTCCGTTCTAACTCTGAAATGGAGATAAAGGAAGGAGTCATAAATCTGAATTTTTCATGAGTCATCTGAAGTCACCTGAATGAAGTGCCACCTGAGCACCAAAGTTAAATTCTTCTGCCTATTGTAGTTTTTAGCAAAATGGCTCTCCTATTTTTCATAAACTTAGCTTTTTTTTCTAGAAGAATGTGCCATTTATTTATTACTCAACGTTCAGCTTAATAATGAGTGAAAAACGTTGGACTGTATTTCTACTCTGTGACTTGTCCTGTTTGGTCAGTTTTGGGGGACACAGAATCTTCCTCAGTGCCAAAAGACAACCTCAGGAGGAGGTAAGCACAGCAGAAGAGTGGGCTTAAAGAGGCTGAGCAGAGAGATCCTTACTGTCATCATAAGGCTACTTCCTGACAGGGATATATCTATAGATATATCAGGACAAATGTGTAAGGGATGTAGGCCAATGAGGACACTGACCTTCTGCCCCATCCACTTCCACCTACTGTTCCTCTAGTGCGATAGAATATAGAAGATACAGTGATGTATTTTTTATCCCAGACACCATGTGACAAATGCATGTCCCTGAAGACATCAGGGGCACCGAGCATACAGTAAAAATTACAACTGGTGGATAAGATCAGTAAAAGCAAAGGATAAAAAACATTTAACAAATGCATCTGTGTGTCACAGCAGAGTAGGCTGCAATCAAAGTTTACAGCCTTCAGTGCAATCATAGCAAGTAACTAGCAAAAGTTATCAATCTCTAAGTTGTTAAAAATATTCTTGTGAAGATAGTTATGTAAAAACTAAGCCAGGCAGGACTTCAGGGGTTTTGTGCCTTTTGTTTCTGAACATCTTCATTCCAATTTCCTGTACAGTAGCCAGTTACCCATTCTTACTAATTCCTTAATGAGTTCCCCTTTCCCTTTGAAATTAAGTGCAAGTTCTCTTAATTTTTTGCTCAGCCTCAGTGAGTCTCAACTCTGAATTCTTTAACTGCTGCATGTCACAAACATGAATTTTCTGGAGGCTGTGAATCTCTTCACCTTTAAAAAAAAAGCAATATGGCCATAAAAATCTGGAATACATGCTGTATCCAAAAGGTAGTGCTCTGGAACATTGTCTGAGCAGAGTGCAGTAAAATAATCAAAGGAGAGAACAGCTCAGAATCTTTTCCCTGCCATGTGTCTAAACAAGAAAAGAAAGGATGATATGCACTAGCATTTCCTGGAACCACTTCATCACATTTCTGGTAAGATAGTAGCATCCCTTTTCTTTTACTGAAGCAGTACTAAGGATATATGTCTAACTAGATTTTTGATGGTGAACTGCTTTCTGGCTAAGAAGTGTTTCTGAAACATTAAGGGTACTGACATCAGTTTCAGAAAGGCCAAGAGGAATAAAATCTTGAAAGCCTATATTGAATTATAACCAAAAAGACAGTTGTATCAAATACACACATTTTGATGGGAAAACAATTACATGTGCTAAAAACATTCTTGCATATTCTGATACTGTAATAAGACTTGCTCTTATTACTTGCATTTTACCTGTAGTTGTGTCAGTCTGCAGCACAGAATTGTTGGGTAAACCAGACTTGTCTACTTGATGTTTCATGTCACTTAGATCAGGAAAAAAGCACAGAGAAGCCTGATTTTGTGTCCATGTCTGCTATATGGAATGCCTAAGGAAGAACGTTGAACATGCTACATTCCAAATACGCTGGGATGGGGTTTTTTATTTATTTAAGCTTCATGCAAAGTACATGATCTTAACAGAAAAGAATCCAAATCTTACAAAAGCATTTGTACCTTCTTTTCCCCATCTACTCTCCACACCAGCCACACACACACACCACCCCTCACCCCCTGATCTTCCTGGTAGATTCTGGCCCCAAAACAAGGATTATGCAATCTTTGTTAAATTAAAAACCTGTGTTTATTAAACATCTTTTACAATATGCCACAAGGCTACTGATCAGAGAGGAGGCAGTGAAGGACTGTATCCTGATCTTCCAAGTTCCTCAATACCACCTGTCTGCAAGCATGAAATGCTTCCATTATCTGGGCCACACGGAAAGCAAATGAGCTGCTATGCACCTGTCAAAAAGCACCACAGAAAAAGTGTTCATAAAATCACTTGCAACGATGTATCACTTGTTTGCTGATATTTTAAAAAACATTTCTGTTTAAAACTGACATCACCTGAGCTTGTAAGCAAAATTACAGAGGTTTTCTGTAATAACTATGAATGCCTTTGTAACAAAAAGTTTTGCAAGAGCTTGTTCCCAATGTGAAAGAAGGAACTGTAAGCAACTCATTATCCCATGTACTCAATATACTGGTGTGAGCAATCATTCATTTTTGATAATGTTTCGTATTTGAACACTCAAAACCCTGAGGAAAATAGCAGAAAATATTAGAGCTGTGTGGGAATTTTAAGCCTGAATATTCTGGATAATTGTGGCATAGCAAATGTTGCAAGACAGTAATGTTCTAGAGTCTTCAATGGGAAGCTAAGCAGCATCTGAGAAAGCCACAGGTACTGTCATGTCATGTCTGATTATTGGCCTATGACCATTAGAAAGCAGAGAGGTGAAAATGTAACATTTGGGTAGACTTTACCTTCTGAGTGTCTGTCACTGAAGGTGGGTGAAGGGTGCGGAGCAGAATCTTTGTGAGTGGCACAGTGTAGGGCCTCCTTGCAAATGCCACAACACCTGGCCCATCTTCACAAGAATGGGAGAAATCCGGAGGTTTCACATCTGTAAACTTCTCTGATTTCTCTTTCAGCTGATCAATAAGCATTTGCTGTTCCACCATTTTCTCATTCTCATGGAAAAAAAAAAGTTTAACTGAGCTCTGTATCATATTCACCAGTTCTAAATTCCTTACAGAGGTGATTAATCTTGTAAATCACTTACTGACCCTAAATTATTTTGCAGGGCACAGGCAAATTCTGTGTCAAACTGAAAATTCTACGACATGTCATCAATCTAACACGTACACACCCCAACTCCAATAAATTTTAAGACACATTTTCATTCAGAAAGACCTGTCCCAGTTACGTTGCATCAGCCTATCTAGGTATCTAGTGAGAAGTGGGTGACAATTAGCAGCCTGTGCTTCCTTTACATGTGTGTTTATGAAGAAATAAAACATTAATTCAACACAAATGTTCAAATGAAACACACGGTCTGAGTCTTAGTAATTAAACACATATATGGGCTTGTTCTTTCTCTTTGAGCAGTTCCACATTAAAGATTATTTGTCTTAATAAACATAAACATGTACATGATCCCAGGATCACTTGCTTCTTTTCCTTCCACCCAGCTTCAGCTTTGTTGGCCTCACTTGCTTCTCCTATGGCATTCTCTGTACATTCTACAAAAGTACTTATGTTCCCTAAACCAATTCATCCATAAGGCCAAGATTATATCCACTTTCAACTCACTCTTGTCATGTTTTAAGAGTGGTATTCCCTGATTTAGTGTTTCCACTGAAACCCCCCAGACTATGTGCCGCTCGCTCACTAAAGATCAAGAGTTGAGGCAAGAACCATTTACTAAGAAAACAGAAATGAATTAAGAAAATGAACAGTCACAAGTGTATTAGTAACAGAGAATACAAGACAGGTGAAAAGCGCACACGTGACTGATCACCACATGGAACCTGGCTCTGCCCGCATGCACACACTGCACCCGACTGAACGGTGCCAGAACAAAGGGTACCCCCCATCCCCTCTGCATGGTGTGAGGTGGTATGGAATAACTCCAGCGTCCTAATGTGCCCTTCCTGGCTGCTGTAAAAGTTAACCCTGTCCTGGACAGAACCAGGACAATTCTATTCCTTTCGATTATTTTCAAAGTACGGTTAAAATCTGGCCTAGGAACAACAGGAAGGTTGAAGACTAGATCACGATAGTCGACCAAAAGTATTCAATGGAAGATACTTTGCATCCTCCTACTTTGAGTAATATGGTTTTATTCATTCTTTATGATGTTCTCCTAGATTGCAAGTTCCTTCCAAACACAGATACATAATGCCTTGCAAATTGACATTGTGTTGGAATGAAAGACATATTATTCCTGTCATAGAAAATAGAATATATGTGTAAATATTGTATTTGTTATCATTTTGGAAGCAGTAACAGCCAAGTGATCTACCTTGAAGCTATTATTTAAGCATTTTGAGGGTCTTTGTCCCTGATATCATTGTACATACAACCCCACATAACACCCATTACATAAATACATGTGTATAAACATTTAATGCCTACTACTCGCTACTTTTACAAGTTTTATTCTATCATGTATCATTGAATTACATATTCCTGCGGCTACACTTTAAAATATTTAACAGAATCACTTACTTTTCATTATGCTACTTACACGCTTTTAAATAGAAGTGGCAGTTTAGTGAAGTGGCCAAAGTTGGAAGAGACCTCTAAGACCATCAAGTCCAGCTGTTAACCTGTCACTCTGCTGGAACCCCTAAATCACTAAACCATATCCTCCAGTGCCACAATCAGAAGCCTCTTAAACATTTCCAGGGATGGTGATTCCACCACCTCTGTGGGCAACCTATTCCAGTGCCTGACCACCCTTTTCCAATATCTAATCTGAATCTCCCCTGTCTCAGCTTATGGCCATTCCCTCTAGTCCTCTCCCTGCAGGCATAGCAGAAGAGACCATCCCCCACCTCTCTACAACCCCCTTTCAGGGAGCTGTAGAGAACAATTAGGTCACCCCTGAGTCACCTCTTCTCAAGGCTAAACAAACCAAATTCCCTCAGCTATTCCTCGTTCCTTTTTCAAGTGAGGGGCCCAAAACTGAACACAGGACTTGAGGTGTGGCCTCACCAATGCCAAACACAGGGGGATGACCACTTCCCCAGTCCTGCTGGCCACACTTTTCCTGATACAGGCCAAGATGCCATTGCCCTTCTTGGCCACCTGTGCACACTGTTGGCTCATATTAAGCCTGCTGTCCCATCAACACTTCCAAGTCTCTTTCTGCCAAACAACACTCAAGCCACTCCTCCCCCAGCCTACAGTGCTGCATGGGGTTGTTGTGTCCCAAGTGCAGGGCCTGGCACTTTGCCTTACTGAATCTTATGCAGTGAAATAAATGTGGTGCCTGAAGGCTCTCAAGTTTCCCTCCTGTCTCTGACACTGACACAATCATGATCTTTTACCTACACTCTGACACCTTCTGTTCATTACCTCTCTCTACCTTTTGTCCTCTAGAATTTATATAAGCATTATCTCGGTATACTAAGTTGTCAGTATGGTGTACAGGTTTAAAAAAAATAAATCTAGCCAGAGGTGACAGAAAAAAAAGAGAGTGACAGAGGAAAGAAAGAGATGATCATTAGCATACTTACATGTCATCCATTGACTCTCCCCCAGCCATCAACAAAGAAGAAGGAAAGGAGAAAAAGTATAAGAAGTACTAGCTATCCATTGTTTATGCTTTTCTCTTTTAAAAAGTTATATAGTAATGTATCTGTTATCTATGTGACAAGGCAACATCAGAAGAATATAAACTATTTGCTTTGCTGGGCGGACAGGGTCAGAACAAAATACAAGAACACTGAGTTAAAAGAAAATAAGCTTACTTTTACCATATTTGTTAAAGCAGCCTAAGCAAGGTAATACACTTATTAATATAATGCACTTATTCATTGGTTTAAGGTAGCAAAAGATTAAGCAAGGTGAATACGCAAAGCAATGCACTTGATCATTATTTCAAAAAACTAACAATAGTGATTAAGAAAGACACAACATCAGTTGCCTTAATGCTTTACCATCATCCAGATCCACAGCTGTTGGGGAGTCCCAGTCACAGCAAGGATTTGGAGAATCCTTCCCAGCAATTGGGAAATCCTACTCAGTGCCTCCACTTGTAGGTGAGGTCTCCAAAGTCGCTATGACTGGGGTCCAGCTTTTATACACTTTAACAAACAAAACTGTTATGCTTTATATGACAATATGTGTGGTACCTGGTTTCATCTCCCTGTATCAGTCAGACCATGGACCTGAGCGATACAAGCCCATCATCTTTTACTCTGTGTCCATGTTCTTTATTTCACTTTATAACTGGTTAATCCACTATTAACACACCAATCAGGTTTATGATCACATGCCTTGCATGCCAATTTCGAGCTGCCTGCTACTATAGTGTTTGTGAGAGTTCATGCAAAGGTCAGCTCTGGCTCAGGCCTTCACAACAGGCCTTAGCATTGCCATAACACCATTCTATTTATGGTCTTCTTGATCTTGAAATATAATGCACATACTAGCCATAATTTCATTAGCAAGCACAATATCTAGAGAAGAAAAGAAGCAAGCAGCGTTTCCACTATGTCACTCAGTTTTCTCTAGTAGTAAATGTTCAGAAACTTAGGATGGAATTGTGTCTTACAAAGTCAAAAGGGGACAATACTCTCATTTTTTAAAAAGCTATAACAAACTAAATTTCTACACAACCTTTCAAGTAAAGCATTCTGTAGGACCTTCATAGTCTTTTTTTGGATTTTAATACTAATTCATTAATTGTCCTGAAACTGCTGAACAGTGGTACACATCTGGGGAGAGGGGTGTGCATTATCTGTCCAGAAGCATGGAGAGGGTGAATGATTCACCTGAAGTTATATAGAAAGTTGGTGGCACACCTAGGCACATATACAGAGTTCAGGAATCACATTAGTGTGGTTCATCCACTAGATGAACCCAACTCATTACGTAATGCAGCTCTAACTGAGACAAAACATCCCTAATATTGACCAGTAGTTAAGTCCAAAAAATTGCTGAGGGACCTGTTCAATGCATTCACACAGTGGAAGGATGATTCAATGCAAACACATGTACCAGTGGAAAAATACCTGTAATCTTTGTGTTTCTTGAGCCTCCTCTAAAGATCTCGGTTGTTCTTTATTTTCCTGTAGTAATGTCTTTACCTGATTCTGCATGTCATGATCCTTCTGGACAAATACTTCTTCATCCATAACTAAAGCCTCCTAGATAATAAAAGAAAAGTTCAGCTGGCGAAAAGAGGGCATTATTATTATTAGTAGTAGTATTATAGTTGGAAAATGAATTAAAACAAACCAAAACCTCATTCGTTTTTAAAAGAAGTGATCAGAACTGCAAAGTTTTGAGGTATTTATGGCAAATTGCATTATTGGTTTTCTATGGTTTCTACCAGTTATTTCTCCACTTCTGTTTTATCTGTTGCTTTTGTTCTGGCAAGTTCTTTCAAAAGGAATAATGTACTCATAACCAAAGCTACTTTACTGAGTATATATCTAAATTCAATTATTCTCTTTAGTGTGCTGTTACATGTAGCTACAAGATCTCAGCACCTTGAGATTAATACACTTCTCAAATGGAAAAATAAGGACAGCTGTCCTCATCCTGCAACTCAGATAACAGTTTAAAGAAACCGTAAGAATGGTTTTTCAGATGTTCTTGTCTGAATGAATTATCCAATACTGATTGGAGACTTCCAAATGCTGTCATTCTTCCAGAAACCCTGTTGAAACCAAATACAATGTACTGAAACATGTCAGCCCACAAACCTTCTCATTTCTGTTCTTCCTATTTTTATTCCATGAGTCCTGCGAATGGAAGCATGAATGAATTTGGCTGTATTTTCATCTGTGTAAGACAGCATTATCCAGACAGTCATAGCTCTCAGCACAGAAGTGCATATATACACCAAGAACAGGTCCACTATTACCTGTTAAATCTGCCAGAGTCTGCACTGCCTCGTTTATTCTAGCCTCTCCCTAACCGTCTCCTCCTGGCTGTGAATGGCACACTCACCAGGAAATTTAAGTTTAAGCTCAGCACTTTTGAGCTCTGTTTTGAACCTGGCAAACAGGGGCTTAAAATAAGCTACAGAAGAAAATCAAGAAACAAGAAGAAAGCTGTGAGATAGATTGACTGAGAACAAATAAAAGAGAGATATTGTTTATGCAATTGCCTGATGACAACCTACAGGCTTATCACAGTTTGGTGTGAAAACTGGAAATGGGCTGATGTCATAAAATTCTAACTTGTTGGAACAGTCTCCTTCAACTATGAGACAGACTCAAATTAGTTTTTCTGAGTTGTTCACCTTATGTCAGCTTATGTGCCCATGGCTCCCTTTCCTTTAAGCAGGAAAATGCTTACTCGTGGTAGCCAAGATGGTGGGTGGCCTGCAGAGCAAGGAAGGAGAGAGATTATCCACATTCTCTTTTGAGCTGCTGGACCTTGTGTTTCCAGAGATGAGAGGAAGGCACATAGCAGGGAGGGGGAATAGAGATTCTCTTCGAATCACTGGGGCTGGCAGACTGGCCTGTACAAAGTTGGTGCCATAATGTCAGACCAATCCATCATTGCTCGGTTGCTGTCACATGATGACAGTGAGCTCTGTTCTCCTACACAGACCATGTGCACTGTATGCTATTTGGATCTCTGGGGGCTTGATTATTGTCCATGTCACTGTAGACCACCCCCATCACCTCTAATTCCCTGAAAGACTAGATACATTCCTTCCTCAGTAGGTTACAGTATCTTCCTTAAGAACATAACTTGTCTTTATGCTCAATGAGAGTCATCTCTGCGGGCTGCAGGTAGCTGGACCCTCTTCCAATCCTTCTGTCAATACCACAGTCCATAGCAATTGGTCCCATTGTTCCAGACTGTTAGACCCACTATTCCACCTCTGGAACAACCAGGTAGCAATTAGCTCATCTTGCTGACAGACAAAATCTTTACACATATCTTGCAGCTTGGTCATGAATAAGGACCAGGTAGCTTCCACCTCTTATGATTCGTGTCTCTTTCCTCCCCTGTCCTGCTACAGAACAGGCTGCCTTTTCTGATTCTTCCTCTCTTCCCCTCTCAGGAGGAGCTGCTGCTTCTCATTGCATTGACCTCTGCTTCCACTGTTTCTTCGTGACTATAGGAGCAACTACTACAGTTGAGGATTCAGTCTGGTTTATTGTCTGTGTGGCCTCAGAGCAAGAGACCTTCTCAGTGCCAGATTGTGGGTTTTCAGAGCAGAAGGACCTGTTGCATTTCTGAGGGCACTGGGCAGTGACTTCATAGGCATCGGCCAGATCCCAACACTGCTTTCAAAGTCACTGGGTGTCACCTCTCCTCCTTCAAATGATGTATTAGTTTGATGGACAAAGTTTGAAGGGCAAGTGCAGGGTCCTCAACCTGGGAAGGAATAACCTCAAGCACCAGTACAGGTTGGGCACTAACCTGCTCAAGAGCAGCTCTGTGGACAAGGACCTGGGGGTCATGGCGGACAACAAGCTGTCCTTGAGTCAACAGTGTGCCCTTGTGGCTAAGAAGGCCAATGGAATCCTGAGCTGCATTAAGGGGAGTGTTGCCAGCAGGTGGAAGGAGGTGATCTTGCCTCTCTACTCAGCCCTCGTGAGGCCACACCTGGAGTACTGTGTCCCGCTCTGGGCTCCTCAGGAAAAGGGGACAGGGAG